ATCGTGCCAGGGCAACCGTACACTACATCAACAACAGGTAGACCCTAAACGTATCCACTCAGCCGTAGACAGTTAAGCTAAATCAGCAATCTTGATATCTAAACCGCACACCGAGAAGCTACAAGACAGAATCTTAAGGCTTAGCAAATAACCAATAACACGAAGGAGAAAAGCTGAAGGGGTCCCTGTAAGGGATTAAGCGTAAGGATAGAAACTAGAGGGTGGCAGTACACCCTAAGCCGAAGCCATCACCAATAAACCATAGGGACGAACCATGGAATATGCAGCTTAAACCCCGGCACCTAAAGCGAAAGCACTAAACCCTACATCCTACGACCGTACGGATGGTCAAAGAACAGCTAAGGCATGATCAATGAGCCTTAGACGCATACAGTTACTTATGGGACCATAAAGATGGGGAGTAATGAGTAAGGACAACACCCCAAGAATAGACTAGAGGCTGGGGGCGTAAATATAGAGAATACACCATGACCACTAGGCTCCAAAGTGGAACAATGAGGATAAGGAATACAGCATTAATCCTAAGCATTAAAAACTACAGAATGAACGATAGAGAATGGCACCACACAGAAGAAAGATACACCCACCAGGTCTTGACCTGGATAGGACCCAGATGAAACACCAGCCTACAACATGCGGCTTCACTCCTTAAAATACAGAAGAAGATGCCCAGGAGTACAGGTAAACCCTATGGGGACAAATCTACTCTTTAACAGTACTCCCTCAGGTAGGACCACTGGGGATTACGACGGGCTAGGGAAGGGGAAAGAATGAGTGATAAACAACTGAAATAAGCCATAATAGGAAGAACCTGAAGGATGAGGGAACAGGCAAAGAAGGCAACATAACCAATATGCAATTACAACCATATTATAAGGGAAAGGGACAGGAACTGACAAAATACATCTGCAATATACACCCCCAATCTCCACACCTGATCATTGCATATGCACAGAAGTGCATGAAACATGAAGTTTACTTCATCATACATAAAGGATAACCCATAAACCGAGCGCAATAGAGGTTAAATCCTACAAAATAACAAAGAGGGGAGGAAAATTAGAGTCGAACAAGTGAATCCAAAATCGAAAAGTTAAAATTTCTGGGCTAAAAAATAGACCCCAAAGGGAGAGGCATAGGAAATTAAACATAGACACAGGGGGGATAACCAATAAGTATGAACACCCAAACATAAGCCATCAAGTCCTAAAGCATAGACACAAAGGTGCAATCAGTAATTGTGCACGATAGACATAGAGCATAAATGTGCATATTAAAAGAGGAGGATGAGGAAGAAGCCATAGAAGATGGAGTCATAATGAGGACAGGCCGCATCGAAAATATAGGGGATAAATCCTAAGCCCTCAACCCCGGAAACAAAAAAACGATACCTTCGAAATAGAAAATAGACAGTAGGGGAAGGGCCCTGAAACTGAAGCGGTAGAAAGTACACTATAGGACGCGAAGAGGAAACCATGAAACGAAACCATATGCCCTAAACCTACAGCCAACCCCTAACACGTAAAAATGGAGCCGGAAGTTATAGAAATAGTAGATAAACCATACAAATAAACCCCCCCACTCATAAACCTCGAACCCCGCGCAGTAAAAGATGAAACATCATACTTGGAACCAACGGATCAACCGCCTTCCTCCAAGATTTTGGAGCCTCCGGAACCGATCTGAATCCAGCCCACTGGATCCTCAAAGCTAAGTCCTATAATATGAAATCTGAGGCACAAACGTAGATCGCCGAGATTACACCTTGGAGAAGTAAAAGAAGAAGGACCTTGAATCCTGAAACCCCAACGGACAACTCTACGAATAAAGACTAATGTCTAAACGCCAAGTTACAGAACAGTAGACACAGAAATCCATTGCCTAAAAATCAAATTGAACACAACAAGAACAGGGACTGAAGCATAAGTACTAAACTCAAAATCCTAGAACATAGGATGATTATACAACTCCTATCTAAGACATAAGGAACAAAACTTAAGTAAGCCCTTAAATCAGGGAAGAAACAAGTAAGGACTACGCGCTAAAGCACTAAGGACTAGATCAAACAAGGTAAAGATGCACATTAAACCCTGCAACATAAGGATTAAAAAGTAAACCCAGAATGATAACAACTGAACCCTAAGTCCTAAGGGAAAAGCAGAAGAAACCTAAAAATTAACACCTGAAGCATGAACCCTAAATCCTACAACAGGAAAAATGAACCTCCAATCCTAAAAGCTGAAGAGAGAATTCTAAATCCTAAAACGTAGAAGCTAAAGCCCTAAAACCTAAGGGAAGTAGACGGAATCCTGAAGGACAAGCGAAAAGACTGAACCTAAATCCGAAACTGTACAGGTTGAGCCATAAGCCAAAGGCAAACAGGATAAGGGATAAACCTATATCTCAACCCTAAAATTCGAAGAGTGAACCCTGAACAATACACGCACTGGCTGAATCATAAGCACTAGACTTAAACCGAAGAGACAGATCCATAAGGACTCAGCACTAACACCTAAATAAACAACCCCAACACATCAATTTAAACAGAAGCAATGACAGCAACTCGTAGAAGCATGCAAAGAGCTCCCTAACTGTAGAACTTTGACGCCTACCTCTACACCCGCCAAGGTACGGTGCAAATCAGCAATCATAATCCCGAGGACTAAAGCATGAACCGTGCTCCCTAACACCTGAGACATTAGACCTAATCCCCAGGATGTAATCCTAAACACTCTGCCGTGAATCTCCAAGAATGATATCCTGGCCTCAGCAGTAATCCCTTCAACTTGACCCCTAAGCGGGGAACCATAAGAATGCTTCCTTACATCTGATTCGTAAGATATCTGCAATTATCCATGAAGGGTAACTCCTGATGAATAACACCTTGGGACTAACCTCTAAAGACTGATGCCTAACAGAGAAACCCAGACAGGATACACCTCACTAGGTGACAACCAATCTCTAACAACGGAGAAAGAGAAGCGGCAGGGTGACACCGCCATGCAGAGGACCTAGAATGTAAATCAAGAAACCTTAGACCCTACAGAAAAAAGGCTAGAGACTGATCAGCGAGTAGTATAGGGTAAACCTGGAATCTTAAATCCCTGAGATCCATACGTTAAAGTGTAGATCTAACCCTAAGCCCTGAAGGAAGATTCCTCAGGCTCAGAAGGTGAGGCGTAGGCGCTGAGAGATAAAAATAGGATTGGAAAAATAAAACTCCAGGAAAAACAAACCCGGGAGTGTGATGGATAAAACCTGGATCATAAATGTTAAATCTACACTCTAAATGTTCAACCCCCCCACTTGAACCCTAAGCCCTAAATGGAAAGTCAAAAAGATTGAAACCCTAAAGAGTAGACGCTAAGGAGTGAAACATGGACAGTACACCTGAAACACAAAACCATAAAAATAAACCCTGACACCTGAACCCTATACGGTGAAGCCTAACCCGTGAACCATGAACCCAAAACCATGAACCCTGAACCCTAAAACCTAAACCCCAAACCCTAGACCATGAACCCTAAAAGGTCAAACCTAACAAATGAACGGTAAACCTAGCCGCTAGACCCAGATACCTCAACGATATAGCACAACCCCTAAGCCGTAATCCTTGAAGTGAAACAGTCAATCCTAAAGACTGAAACTAGGAACACAAAAAGTAGACCCAATACGCTGAACCCTGACAAACTGAACCAATAACCCCTAAACATAAAGCCTTAGCCCCAGACGATAAAGCCTGAACCAAACCATCTAAACCGGGAACCCTAGTCCAGGAACCTAAATCAACCAGATGCAACACCTGAACCTTAAACCTGAAACGTAGAGCCTAACCCTGAGACCCTGGCAACCTGAAGCGAAACCCTAAACCCTGCAGCCTAAAACCGGAAGACTGGAACCTAAAACCTATCCCCTAAACCCGGAAGCGTGAACTCTAAATCCAGAAGCCTATCGCCTAAACCCTGAAGCGTGAAACCTAAAGCCAAAAAACTAAACCCTAAATGCAACCCCGTGAATCCTCGACCCATAAGGCCTAAACAGTAAAACAGGAGCATAAACTCTAATGCGTAAACCCTAAACATGAACCATAAACCCAGAGCGCTCAACCATAATCCCTGAATTCGTAAGCCATCAAACCTAGAACTTGTACGTCAACCCTAGACGCCGACATCTAAGGCCTAAAGACTAAACAGTAGAACGACCACATAGGCCGAGGAGCATAACCCCATAAACCATGAAAGACTACCGATCAAGCGTGAACAATTAAAGTGTAAACGGAAGGCCCAATATCCTAGAACGTGAACCCCTAAAAAATGAACAATAACACATAAGCAACAAGCCTGAGTCGAAGGCCCAAAAGATATAGCATAAGGAATAACAATCAGGATTGAAGCGTAAAACCTAAACCAAATACACTGAATAATAAATACTAAACAGTGCTATCTACAACCCTGAAGTCTCGATTGTGAACCCGGAGGGCTAAACCCGGAAATCTAAATGCTGGACATTGAACTATAAAGCGTAGAGCAAGGACCAAAGACCCTAAGGCCTAACCCCTAAAGCCTGAACCCTAACCCTAAGCCCTAAACGATAAAAGCAACACCTGCGACTGAACCATAAACCCTAGTCCTTGAAAGCGAACCCTTCAACCTCGATCCTAGAAAGCTTAAACAAGAACCCCAAACCGTAGACGCAGAACCAGAAACTTCAAGCCCTGAATCCTAACTCTTAAACCCTCAATCCAGCATCACACCTCACGCACTCCCTCTTTAGCCCCTGCCCCGACTCGATACACTTATTCTCATTCCCGTTCCTCGGCCTCCACCCTGATGGCGTCGCCCTCTCCGAAATATCCGATAGGAGCCATAGCCAGCACAGACTCCGAATATTACGCCCAGGAATGCTCCTATACCTTCCCATATACCACCCACTGTCGCCTGATCCTTTTCCCCCCAGTCCAGAATTTCCTGCATTAAATATTAAACACCACAGTGGGTTATATGTGTACCTTCACTCGCCTCTCTGCTCCGGGTTGCCCCCAACTGATGTAAGGCTCCCCTGAGATATCCTCCTCCAGGAGTTAGTCTCTTCCTTTTCCTCACCTGGGTCCTTTTACTCAACTCTCCCTCGTCCCTGAAAGCTGTCAGGATCTTCGTAAGCACTTCAGAACGTGGCGCCCCCCCCTGATCCTCTGCTACTGAAGTTTTATACTCACCCCCCTCACCTCCTTTGTCTGTTGCTTCCTGTTCTTGCCAATCACATCGTAAGGATTTATCCCCCTTATCCAAACCAGAGACACTCTCAGTCACTATCTCATACAGATCCCTCCCTGGTAAAATGTACTCAGGCTGCCCTCCCTCTTTGCTGCCTGTTGTTAAGGTCCATTGAGACATTATTTTTCTTGCAATTTCCTCCCCACCCCAAGCTCTTAAGCCCTCATATATTTTCTGACAATAATTTGTCGTCTCGCTCTGGTCGTCAATCACCTCTTTCCCTGTAACAGTCAGACCCAGCTCTAACAGAATTATCTTGACGATATCCATACAAGCGACTAGTGCTCTTGCCTCGGCTCCCCATAGTTGTATTTCTCTCTGACTCCTGAACCTTTCCCATTCCACCTTCTTTCTTTCTGGAATACACTTTCTTCCCTCCTCATCCTTCTCCTTTGCTTTTCTATAATCGGTATATGCACACCCACTCAAAGAATACGGCTTCTTGCTCGTTCGATTTATTTCTAATACACTTATCCACCTTTCTATATCCAGACATATGCTCCTGCTCAGGGAATAGACGCCCTTTGCGTTGGATACGTTTTGGTATCTTCCGTGGTGTTCATAATCCCATTCGTACACATTTTCAAACTTCTCCTTCTTGTCTCGTGACAACTCACATATTCTTAGACTCCTCGAGTCCGTGTCGCGACATTCTCCGCTTCTGCTAGCTGCTCCTATCAGCTCTTTCATATATCCCGCAAAAATTGAACTCATCCTCTTTAATTTTGATGGCTGATTTTATTCCCGAACGCGCTGATACTTGGGGGAGGGAAGCCCCTTTATAATCAGAACTATCTTAGACTTTGTAGAATCCCCTATCTTCTATCCGCTTCCGCTGTACCAATTCACGCTCGGGAGTCTCTCACTATTCTCGTTTTGGAATTTCTTCTAACCAGTTGCCTCCCTTCACCCCTGCCTCTCTTGCCGGTAGGAGAAGAGTGATTAAGTCTTTTTGCTGAGTCCCGTGGCTACTCAATCAGATCTCCTGACTTTTCATTATTTTCCTAAATCCTGTGGGGTGCGACCCTACCTTTGGCCCTAGTTCATGCTCATTAATCACCCCTTTCTTTCCTTCCATAAATGCTTCCTTTAGCGGCGTCCCTCCCTTTGCTTCTTCTTCTGGGGGGGTGCCCACCTGCCCCTTCGAAGTTTGGTGCTGTTCTTCTTATTTCCTGAGGGATATAATGGTATCTTCACTTATATATTTTATTGCCTGTCCTGCCACTTCTATTCCTATTCAGTGCGTCTTGTACGTGCTTCCTTCTGATTTTCCTCCCCAGTTCTATGAGTTCAGGGGACTGCTCAGGACCCTCAGTCTTATATTGATAGACGTCTTAGGCCTCACTTATCTTTCTTTTTGGGTGATGTACATATTATTTGCACTGCTTATTTTCACTCTTCCCTCTCAGATCTCCACAAGATAGTATCTCGCGTTTGGCTTATTAAGGACTTATATGAGATATTAAGGCTCAATCGCCGTTAAACGAAGTCAGAGTTGAGCAAGAGGTTGGACTGTTTATCTTTATGTCTTCTCTCTCTGGTTCAATGAACTATCGTCTCATGTGCCTGTTTTTGCTGCATTAAGTGGACTCTTAGATGCTCCAGCCGTGTCCTTATGCGGTTCCCCCCTGTTGGGGTATTTTTGCCGGAAGAGTTTATACAGACTTTCTGTATAAGAATTCTTCCTGCCTCATATTCGAGAAAGATTTTGTGCTTGATCTCTCGTTAGATTTTGTCCACCTCCTGTCTATCCTTCTGTTTCAGCTGGGGAGCTGGGGAACTGGGGCCCAGGGAGATTTTCTCATTCATTCTTTACCCTATTTAGTAATCAGAGGCGACGGTTTCGCTGTTCAGTAACTGCTTCTCTTCCCGCTCCTAAGCCAGTTAAGCATACTTATTTGATGTTACTGGGTAGTCATACCTTCTTCATCTCACTTTAGAAGGGGGTTTTGTTAGACTGCTATTCTCCGTCCCAGTGTCGGGGTGGGTGATACTTACTATAGGGGGATTGAATACTACTATCGTTCTTGGGGGGGTCCCTCCCTTGATCGGGCTTGGAGGGTCCTTTTTCTTTCTTATTTTTTGCTTATATTGTCCGTGAGAATGCTTGTGGGACAGGGATATTCTTTTTTCTAACCCTTATTACTTGGCTGTATCTTCTCTATTTAAATATTTCACTTTGACTTGCGGTTATACTTACCTATTGATAACTATGTCGTACTGTCTCGGGGCGATAGTGCTTCGGGTCTGCCCTTTACCTTTAGCATTTAGCTGCTTTTTGGGTCCACTAGTTCTTACCCCTACTCGTTATATAATGCCTGGATGACTGCTTTTATTATTATTTAATTATACCCCACTGACATCACTGGTGTAGTCATACAGATCTTCTAGACTTGTTTCGTTGTCTTATTTTCCTGTTCCGCTTCGAATGGGGATAATGGTTCACTTTCAGTTTGTTGGTTGTTATATCTTTTCCTTAGCCTATACCTTGGTATGGGGCCAGTTGTTCGAACTAGAGAGGGGTCGTTTGCTGAATTCGGGTTTATCCTGACTAGTGCTGATAAATTGGAGGATTGTACCATCCTATCCTATTCTTGGATTAAGAGTCAGGGATCATGTCATATTAAGTTCCCCTCCTTTATTTATCCTTCTCTCAACTCTTGTTGGTATGAAGTTCGTTCTCCCCTAGTGGACAGCCTATTTGGCTCCCTGATATTCTTCAGACCCTCCGTGTTGGAGACTTAATTTATTCGGTCGTTACTGCCTTCGACTTTCTCAGACTATTTTGAAAGGAGTTATTTCATTCTCCCTCCTCCAGGAGTCTCTGTTGTTGTTTTCATCATTTTTATCTATTCCTTGAAGGATAAGGGGTCCCTAGTTAATTTAGGCTCATTCTGTAGATCCGGTTATTCGGCTCCAGAGGTTTTGCTCAATCAACGCATCGGTTTTTTATGGTAGACTTCGTCGTACTGACTTCGGCTACTATAGCCTCCGGGAGTGTCAGCAGATTTATCCCCTCCCTTATCTTAATATCTCCTACCTGTCCTTGTTGTTTTGGGAAGCTTGGTTCAAGATTCTGGAGTTAGGATTCACAGGGGCTACTTCATCCCTTGAGAGTTTTGGGAATATTATTTACTACCTCTCTGTTATAGTTGCGGTCCTGCTCCTAGTTTTCTGGAGAGCCTTGTCCGTCTCTAACGGCGGTTAGGAGAATACATCGATTTGAATCCAGGTGGCATGTTCGCTCCGGTTCAACCCGATACAGTGAATCTTGCTGTTTCTAATGCTTAGTTTCTTTTGGTCGCTGTGGTGCCCCATCTCTTGCTTCCTCCTGAGGGTTTGCACTCGCCCTCCAATCATTACGCTAGGCTCCTTTTTCGGTGGAGGCGCTGATTGTTCCTTGAATTTTCATCTTTACTTGATCCTGCCCTTTCCTCCTTCTCTTTGGTCCCGACGTGGTTCAGCGTCTTGCTTTAACACGTTGCTAATACCCTCCTTTCATATTGCTACCTGTCCTTCGTATTGTATCTCTCTTGGATTTTTCCTCCTTTTTTCCTCATTCTATAATGCATTCCTTTTACATGAATCTGGTTCTTAGGATTTTAAATCTATATTTAAGACTACTACTGCCCTTGATCACCTGTTGTTGCTACTCCTTCGGCTGATTTTCTGTTTTCTTCTGCTTCATTGTTCTCCGTCCTTGAAAGAGGAGTCTCATTGCAAGCTTCTTTTTTGTTTAAGATCAATGCATACATCCACTCATTATCAATTTTACTGGTTTGAATATAATTTCCTCGAAGACACATCCAGAGTTGATACCATAGACTTGTTCTCTTCTGTAGGCGTGGGTGTAATTTTCCACTTATTTGATGCTTCTCTAATCTCTCCTTTCTTGGTTTTTATTCTGCAACTTCCTTAGTCGTGCTGTTTTGGGGTTTTTGATGTACTGTTAACTTGGGGGTGTTCTCATTGAGTATCCTTCTTTCAAGAGTATTCCGGCTTGATCCTGGATATTTAGTGTTACTCCCCTAATGAGATTCTAGGGAGGAAATTGGCTAATTCTCTTTGCCTGCATCCCTCCGTCTCGGTATTATTTTGCTGTTGCTTGGTGCTCCCACTTCCCTGTTGGTCTATTTCCCTAATTCTGATCTCTAATTTAGTTTCTCCTTAGGGCAGTCGTGTTTGGGATGCTCTGTTTTGACATCCTGCTCTTGTAGGAGTCGGTCAGGAATATTGATACTCCTTGAATCCTTTTAGGAGTCGCTTAGCTGTATTCTCCCGATTTCTACTTCACCCTCTCAATTTCGGCTTGTCCCTAGTTATTACTCTCCTCCTCCTGGCTTCCATAACTTTCTGATTGTTGGGTTTATTTCACTATTTTCTTTAGAGTTGATTCTTTTATTAGAGGCCTGCTAACAACTTAATCTTCTGCCTATTGTAATTATCCTGTGTCCCTGTAGGGTATACAGTTGCCGCTTCTGGTTTGTCTTTTGGGAATGTTCTCCGGTCCCCCTATATTGCAGCTATTCTTCTTTTGGGAGACAGTAACATTACTGGAACCATCTATCAGGCTCCTGGCTCACGTACAGGCGGCTTCTTCAGGGGTTTAATCGGATTGCAGTTATTTGTTTATTTCCTTGATCTAGCTTTTGGTCAGGGCCTCTTAGTTGCGGCTTCGGGTGGTGCACACTTTCGTCATGGGTTAGTAGTTTCAGGCGGTGCACTGATGGCCTTATTTTTGGGGCCCCCCTTGCCTCCCCTAGTCGGCGTCCCTTCCTTGACAACGGTTTGGGATAT